CGCACACGCGCACACGCGCACACGCGCGCACGCGCACACGCGCACACATGCACACGCGCACACACGATCACACACGCACACGCGCACACACACGCACACACGCGCACACGCCCACACGCACAGACGCGCACACGCGCACACGCGCACACACACGCACACACGCACACACGCGCACACGCACACACCCACACACCCACACACGCACACACGCACACACGCACACACGCACAACCCACACACCCACACACCCACACACCCACACACCCCCACACCCACACACCCACACACCCACACACCCAGACACGCAGACACCCACACACCCACACACCCACACACCCACACACCCACAACACAACCACACACACACAGCCACAGCCACGCGCGCGCACACGCGCGCACACGCGCATGCGCCCGCGCACGCACCCACGCACCCACGCACCCGCGCACGCACCCACGCACCCACGCACTCGCGCACGCACCCACGCACCCACGCACCCACACACTCACGCACCCACGCACTTACGCACCCACGCACCTGCGCACCCACGCACCCACGCACCCACGCAGCCACGCACCCACGCACCCACGCACCCACACACCCACGCACCCACGCACCCACGCACCCACGCACGCACGCACCCACGCACGCACCCACGCACCCACCCGTGCACTCACCCACGCACGCACCCACGCACGACACACGGCACGCACGCGCGAACGCGCGCGCGCGCACGCACGCACGCGCGCGCGCACGCGTGCACGCCCACGCCCATCACCGTCCGCGCGCCCGCGTACCACCCGCATGCCCGCCCGCCATACGCACCGTACACGCTTACGCGCAACAGCCGCACGCCCGCATGCACGCACGCACGCGCACGCACGCGCACGCACGCACGCACCCGGACGCACGCGCACGCGCGCACGCACGCACGCGCACGCACGCACGCGCACGCACCCACACGCACCCACACGCACCCACACACACACACCCACACACACACACACTCCCACACACACACACACCCACACACCCCCACACACCCCCACACACACACCCGCACACACCCACACACGACCACACACACACAACCACACACACACCCACACACACACACACATCCACACACACACGCGCACACGCGCGCGCACGCGCACACGCGCACGCACGCCCGCACGCCCGCCCGTCCGCACGCACGCGCGCACGCAGGCACGCACGGCCGGCAGGCTCGGCCAGCACGCACGCCGGCACACCCCCACACACACACACCCACACACACCCACACACACCCACACACACACACACACCAAACACACACACACACACCCACACACACACACACCCACACACCCACACCCACACGCGCACACGCGCACACGCGCACTCGCGCACACGCGCACACGCGCACACGCCCGCACGCACGCATGCAGGCACGCACGGACGGCACGCACGGCCGGCACGCACGCACGCGCACGCGCGCGCGCACGCGCACACACACACACACACACACACACACACACACACACACACACACACACACACACACACACACACACACACACACACACACACACACACACACACACACACACACACACACACACACACACACACACACACACACACACACACACACACACACACACACACACACACACACACACACACACACACACACACACACACACACACACACACACACACACACACACACACACACACACACACGCACACGCACACGCTCATGCACCCACACGCACCCACACGCACCCACACGCACCCACACGCACCCACACGCACCCACACGCACCACACACACACACACCCACACACACACACACCCACACACCCGCACACACACACCCACACACACCCACACACACACACCCACACCCACACGCCCACACACACCCACACACACACACACACCCACACGCGCACACGCGCACATGCGCACACGCGCACACGCGCACACGCGCACACGCGCACACGCGCACACGCGCACACGCCCGCCCGTCCGCACGCACGCACGCACGCAGGCACGCACACACACACACACATACACACACACACACACACGTTGAGCATGGCATCTCGTCAGGACAGGCGCGATGAGGCAAGGGGCAATCTGGAGACGAGGCACCGGTGAGCAAAGGGCCACTCATCAAATGTACACCACGGTGAATGTAAAATAACACAAGTTCCTTTGTTTGGGTACTTAACTTAAGAGGACTACGGATGGCTGAACCAACGTGGAAAAATGTGTCATCTATTCTCACTTAAGTGCAACTGGGGTGTTCTTGGATTTAAGGCATTGGATGTGAGTAACATTTCTGAGAGCGACCATGCAATTAGTGGAACCCCTCGCACCCTGAACTGAAAGCGGTTGCTTGCCCATCAGAATCCAAGGAGCAAGCCAATGAGTTGACTGGGAGAGAGAGCGGTCTACAAACCAATTCCTGCAGCTTGGCCAGTTTGTAGACAAAAACGAGGGCCCAGTTGCTTGACACGCATTCAGAAGGAGTGCGTTCATACATCCATGGCCATGTATGCCATCGCTGTGCTGTGTGAAGGTCCGAACTGCAGATTGTGAGCAGGCTGCACATCTCACTGCCCATCAGCCCTTTGTGCCAATGTGCAGATGTGCCAACACGCATTCTTCACTTGCAGCCCTTCCGCCCGGGAACAGCATGCCCTTTCCATTGGTGCAGCAACCTTAGGGAAGTATTTGCTCGAACAGACTAACACCTAGAGTCTGCCCATTTATTTGTTTGCAAAGGCGCGGCTTCGCAATTTTGGGCGAATATCACGAGTTTGCAGCCTTTGGAGCTCAAGGTACAAGATGTCGCGTTCCAGTGATGGGAGAATTCTGGCACCAATGCGTCTATCCAAGCCACAATAGTGTGCAGACATGTTGTATATGTACATCATTTGCATTATTGAATGCAGTAAATGCAAGGCCTTGTCAATTAAGTGGTGCACAGAATCTCCTCCTCACTGAGTTCGAGGCACACGTGCCGTCTCGGCTTCAGCCATGGTACCACCAGTGACGTGCCACATATGTGGTGCACCCGCTATGCTTCTTCTTCGCTGCTGCGATGAACAAGGAGCGCCCATCTGCTGCTCGGCATGCTTGGTCGCACTTGTTCTTCAGCTGCCAAGGCCGCTGTTTGCGAATGGCTTTCCTGCATTTTGCCGACCTGGTTTGCATAGCTCAAAGAAGAAGCCAGCATGAACAAACATTTTTGAAGAGCTTTTGTTTGGGGCACCCTTGGCAACCGGTGGGTGCGGGTTTCGCAAGGAAAGGTCCCCCAAAAAGGTTGGTTTCCTTTGAGTTTACATATAAAACGAAAAGGGGTACGAATCCCGTTTTGAGAATCCCATATCGCATGGTTCATGGAGTGAGTGATCGCCCAGGCGTGCAGTGCCAGGATTCCTGGTGCATGACGTGCCGCTGGGCGCACCTGATGGGATTTGGAGTCCCTGGATGGTAGTTGAAGGGCAACCAAAAGGAATCAGTTGCCATTCTGGGGACCCCTGTCTGGGAACAAGTGTCAAACCCAGGAACCCGGCTTATATTATCTCAGATATTGACGCGACGCAATCTAGTACCATCATTGCCTGGGCGTAGTCTTTCACCCAGGCGTCCTTCTACCCACAAGAAGAGTTGCCTTACTCTCACACTGCACCAGTGATGACAGCTGTTTGCTTCTGACTCAATCAAGATACCAGTGAGGAGTGCCAAGCTTGATTTTGGAGAAGCGATTCGCCTGGACTAAAAGTAACGGAGCATGAAGGACTGCCTCAAACTTGGTTTGGCTCTTTGGTTTGGCTTCTTGTCTTGGCACAGTCCTTTTCGGACGTGGGCTCAGGTCGTCGGAGGATTCTCTTCCGCGACA